ATTGAGTTTAAAAGCAGGGAGGTTATGCTGCAGCTGCATAGGGTGCTGATGAGCCCACCCTGGAGTACAGTGTTCAGTTTTGGTCTCCTTACTGGAGAAAGGACGTACTGGCACTGGAGGGGATGCAGAGGAGATTCAATAGATTGATTCTGGAGTTGAGAGGGTTGGCTTATCAGGAGAGACTGAGTAGACTGGGATAATATTCATTGGAGTTTAGAAGAATGAGAGGGGATCTTGTAGGAACATGTAAAATTATGAAGCAAATTGATAAGATAGAAGCAGGGAGGATGTTTCGACTGGTGGGTGAAACTAGAACAAGAGAGCATAGCCTCAAAACTAGGGGGACCAGACTTAGGACTGAATTGAGGAGGAACTTCTTCATCCAAAGGGTTGTGAATCTGTGGAATTCCCTGCCCAGTGAGGTAGGTGAGGCTTTCTCTTTGAATGTTTTTAAAGGTAAGATAGATAACTTTTTTGAACAGTAAAGGAATTAAGGGTTATGGTGAGAGGGTGAGAAAGTGGAGCTGAGGCCACAAAAAGATCAGCCATGACATTATTGAATTGCGGAGTGGGCTTAAAGTGCCAGATGGCCTGCTCCTGTTCCAGGTTCTTAAGTTCTCATGTTCTTATGAACTTGTACTCGCATCTACCACTGTCTCTGGTAGCCCATTCCAGACACTCACAACCCTACTTCATATCTAACCCTGTGCTGTACCTGTCCAGTGGTTTTTGTTGGGGACAGTGCGAGCAGTGATTTAATCAGTATAGTTGGTAACAGCTGTGACTTTAGAAGGTGCTATTGTAGAAGCGTTGGTGAGTTGTAGCAGGACTCATGTAGTTTGTATACAGAGTTGCTATTGTGCATTAGTGGTAAATGGAGTCAATGTTGAAGGTAGTGGATGGGGTAGCAGTTAAGCAGGCTGCTTTCTCCTGAATGGTGTCTTGAGTATTATTGGAGAACTGCATTCATCCAGGCAAACGGAGAGTATTCCATTACATTTCTGACTTGTGCCTTGTAGGTGATGGACAGGCTTTGGGGAAACAGGAAGTAAGTTATTTGCTGCAGAATTCCAAGTCTCTCACTTACTCTTGAAGTCACATTTGTATGGCTAGTTCAGTTCAGCTTCCATTTAATAGTAAACCCCAGGATATTGATAGTTATATAATCAACAAATGTCATTGAAAATAACAAGCGATGTTTAGATTCTGCCTTGCAGGAGATGATCATTGCCTGACAGTTGTATGGCATGAATGTTACTTGCCACTCATTAGCCCAAAACTAAGGTTCTCCATGTTTTGCTGCACTTGGACATTGACCATGTTAGTACACGAAGAGTCAGAACTGGTGCTGAACATTGTGCAGTCATCAGCAAACATCCCCACTTTTGACCTTATGATGGAGGGTAACATGAAGCAGCAGCAAATAGTTGGGCTAAGGGTACTATTCTGAGGAATTCCTGCAGCGATGGCCTGGGGCTGAGATAATTAACCTCCAAAAAACACCACCATCTCCCTTGTGCTAGGTCTGATTCCAACAAGCAGAGAGGTTTCCCCAATTCCCATTGACTCCACTTTTTGCTATAGGGTTCCTTAATGCCATATTCGGTCAAATGCTGTCTTAATGTCAGGGGCAGTCATTCTCACCTCACTGTGTCCATGTTTGAACCAAGGCTAGTATGAGGTCAGGAGCTGAGTGGCCCTGGTAGAATGCAAACTGAGCACCAGTGAGCAGGTCATTCCTTTGCAAGTACCACCTGATATCACTGTGATAACCTCTTCCATCACTTTACTGATGATCGACAGCAGGCTGATGGGGTGGTGACTGGCCAGGTTGGGTTAATCCTGCATTTTGTGCACCATACTACCTGGGCAATTTCCATATTGTTGGATATTTGCCAGTGTGGTAACTGCACTGGAATACATGGCAAATTCTGGATCTCTGGTCTTCAGCGCTATTGCCAAATTGTTGTCAGGGCCGTATCCAGTACTTCATGTTATATATGGAGTTAATTGAAATGGTTGAAGACAGCATCTATAATGTTGGAGACCTCCAGAAGAGGCCTAGATGGATTATCTAATTAGCTCTTCTGGCTGAAGATGGATACAAATACTACAGTCCTTTGCACTGATGTGCTGGGATCAGTCACATTGAGGATAAGGATGTTTATGGAGTGCCCACCTCCTGTTAGTTGTTTAATTGTCCAGCACCATTCAAGACTGGTGGCAGGACTGCAGAAATTAGATCTGATCTGTTGGCTGTGGGATTATTTAGCCTTGTTTGTTGATTCTGCTGTTTGGAATATAAGTAGTCCTGCATTGTTGTAGCTTCACAAGGTTGATACTTCACTTTTTTAATAGGGGGACCTGGTGTTGCTCCTGGCATGCCCTCTTGCAGTGTTCATTGAATCTCTTCATCACCAATGATTAGATAGGGTACAAGATGATCAGAGGATTAGATAGGGTGGACAGTGGGAGCCTTTTTCCTCGGATGGTGATGGCTAGCACGAGGGGACATAGCTTTAAATTGAGGGGTGATAGATATAGGACAGATGTCAGAGGTAGGTTCTTTACTCAGAGAGTAGTAAGGGCGTGGAATGCCCTGCCTGCAAAAATAGTAGACTTGCCAACTTTTAGGGCATTTAAATGGTCATTGGATAAACCTATGGATGATAATGGAATAGTTTAGGTTAGATGGGCTTCAGATTGGTTTCACAGGTCGGCGCAACATCGAGGGCCGAAGGGCCTGTACTGCACTGTAATGTTCTGTGTTCTATGTTCTATGTTCGATGTTCTAATGACAGAGCAATAAAAGATTTTTAGATTTAAAGTTGGGGAAATGTTTGACTTTATACTGTGTTCCCCTCAATATCAATGTTTTTTTCTCTTTAACAGCTATCAATTTGAAACTAGTTTATTTGACTTTCTGAAATATTCTCCCTCTCTTTGCCTTCCTGTCTTTTATGTCGTAATTATAATTAAAAAAAACACAATAGACTATATTCATGTGTAGAACACAAGGTGGCAGTATAAGACTGATTAGGATCTAAGTACGCTTCAGAACAATCGTGACACAACACTGCTCCACAGGGATCGGTGCTGGGTCCACTTTTGTTTGTCATTTATATAAATAATTTAGATGAGAATATAGAGGGCATGGTTAATAAGTTTGCAGACGACACACAGATTGGTGATATGGTGGACAGTGAAGAAGGTTATGTAAGATTACAAAGAGGTCTTGATCAACAGGAACAATGTGCTAAAGAGTGGCTGATGGAGTTTACTTTGGACAAATATGTGGTATTACATTTTGGTAAAACAAACAAGGGCAGAACTTGCACAATTAAAAATAGGGCCTTGGGTAGTGTTGTAGAACAGAGAGAGAAAGAACTCAGGTACATAACTCTTTGAAGTTTGCATCATATTTACACAGGGTGGTTAAGAAGGTGTTTAGCATGTTTGCCTTCATTGCTCAGACCTTTGAGTAAATGAGTTGGGATGTTATGTTGAAGTTGTACAGGATGTTGGTGAGGCCTCTTCTGGAGTACTGTGTCCAGTTCTGGTCACCGTGTTATAGGAAGGATGTTATCAAGCTGGATAGTGTTCAGAAGTGATTTACCAGGATGTTGCCAGGAATGGACGGTTTGAGTTATAAGGAGAGGCTGGATAGGTTGGGACTTTTTCGCTGGAGCGCAGGAAATTGAGGTGTGACCTTATAGAGGTTTGTAAAATAATGACAGGAATAGATAAGGTGAATGGCAGGTGTCTTTTCCCTAGGGTGGGAGATTTCAAGACTAGGGGGCATAGTTTTAAGGTGAGAGGAGAAAAATTTTAAAAAGACATGAGGGGCAACTGTTTTACGGAAAGAGTGGTTCATGTGTGGAATGAACTGCTAGAGGAGGTGGTGGATGCAGGTACTGTTACAATGTTTATGAGACATTTTGATAAGTACGTGAATAGGAAATGTTTGGAGAGATATGGGCCAAGCATAGACAGGTGGGACTTTAGTTTAGTTTGGGATTATGATAGGCATGGACTGGTTGGACCGAAGGGTCTGTTTCCATGCTGCATTACTCTATAATTCTATTAGAATCAATTCTCCCTGTTCTTGTTTATCCACTAGTAGAGGTAATTAAATTACCTGTTGATATTACGTTTGAGGACAGATATGAAATCCTCACAACTAGATTAGAGTGCAGGATTTGTATGGAAAATAGAATGTGATTAGTTGTTGAATGACTCCCACTGAACATTGCATCATGAGATTAAATTTAGAAGTTAACTAAATTAATTATTTCTTTTCTAATTTAAAGTTTTAACCCTTTTGAATGGATAGGAAGATGATACTGAAAACACGATCCTGGTCTAGTAACAGGAAAGGGATGTCCATATTTAAGATATAAAGCTACCAAGGCACAAGATTCCTAAAATTCACACCAGAGCCAGAAGCTGTGGGATATAGACATCTGCATTTTCTCTAGCAACACTGCATTGTGATCAAATCGGCATGAGGGATGAGGGAAAGTAGGGGAAGAACCAGATACAATTAGCTTTTCCTACACCACTGCCTGCTCAAGCATCCTTTCTGCTGAGATTTAAACTGAGGGATAGAGGCACAAAGACAGCTTCAGCACTTAAAATATTTTGTTCGGCTGCTTCATGGCAGTTTTACCCACTGGGCTTAAAAGTTTGGAAAGCAGACTATGTATGGGTTTGCATTTAATTAAAAGCACTGTTTGGATTATTGAACAAGGGACACATTTCTCCTCCAGTCTTAAGAATTTACTTTCAGACCCAATTTTTGCTGCGGTACCCTTGCCAAATAATGTTGAATGTCAAAGATTTCAATCTGGCAGCTCAAGAAACATGATTTTTGTTGGTCTGAATTGTTAATGTAGTCACGTCTGGCCACAAGGGGTCAGTTGATCCTGTTGGATAGCTCTGAGTGAGTTAAAGACTTCCCAATGACTCAAAGTTTGGACCTCCCCCTTTTTAGCTGGTACCACCTGTCAGTGCTTGAAGACAGAAAGAGAGAGAGACACACGCATACGCCCTTACAAACAGTCCCTCTCTTAACTGACTTGAGCCAAGAAACTTAAACAACACACACAAGTGTGAACAGTGCATTCAGTTTGAGTGGGAGAACTAGTGTGGAGAGTGGGAGCAGGAGTACAGCCTGGAATAATGTTTCCCTTCAAATCCACGATGCTTGATGAAAAATCCCAACTTCAAGACCTGAACCATCGCCTGGAGTCTTACTTATCCAAGGTACGACAACTGGAGCAAGAAAACCAACGCCTCATCACGGAGATCCAGCATTTAAAGACCGAGAAGAGGACAGAAGAAAGGAGTCTTTATGTGGATGAGATCAATAAGATGAGATGGGAACTGGAGGAGCTGACGTTTGAGAAATCAAAAGCTGAAATGCAACGATGCAAGCTGTGGCAGGAGATCCAAGAGCTACAAAAGCATCACATCGCCGAACAAACAGATTTTAAAAATATAAATCAACAGCTGGCTGAACACGAGAAGGTTCTTCAGCAGACTGAAACAGGCAATGCGTCTCTCGAAGCGTACATCTTGGAGCTGCGGGCAGAATGTCAAACCCTGAAAGATCAGCATGAGCAAGCAAAGAGAGAAATGAGGGAAAAGCTGAGCAGAGCACCCCAGCTCGTGGTCACTCAGGGGTATCACACAGCCCCACTGACCGAAGAGAATTTTGAACAACATGCCCTCACCTTATCAGCAATGTGGGAGGAAGGCTTTGAGATCTACAAAAACAAGATCGAAGAACTGGAAACTGCTGTTCAGCAGGACAAAGCGAAAGGTGAAGAATTGAACAGGGAAAGAGTGCTTTTGATTATGGAAATAGAAGCGCTGAAAAAAGAACTTGAAGATCAATTTAAACTCCAGAACAAACTAGAAGAAGATTTTTTAACATTTCAACAGAAGCATGAGATGGATGTGGAGGAATACCAGGTGAGTGCATTTGGAAGCATATCCTTAACTCTGTAGATGTCAAGGGAATGGACTTGGGCAGAGCTTTTTTTTTGAAGATATATTCTCTGTTAGTTCTGTGGATGCGTGCTCTTTAAGTTTACTGTATTTTTATATATTGCTTTTCATGGCCTCAGGTGACCCAAAGCAACATACAGTTTAATTAATTACTTTTTTTGAAAACTGAGGTCACTGTTGCAATGTAGGAAACAGTGTAGTCAATTTGCGCACACTAAGGTCCCATGAATGGCAATACGATACTGACCAGAAAATCTCAATTCAGTGATGTTGGTTCAGCAATAAATATTGGCTAGTCATCAGGGAGAACTCCCACACTGTTCTTCAAAATAGTGCCATGGCATCTGGTGTTAATTGTATTGATTTAACTGATGTCAGTTAGGGTGGTGCTTAGGGGCCTGGGATTCATTCGATGAGGGAGCAGAAAATCAACCAAGATTGTTGCTTCTGACTTTATAGGATTCCTAATAGAAAAGTGGAATAGTGTGTACCATCCATAAGATCTAGCACATCAATTCCACCCAGGTTCCTCTGACAGCACCTTCCAAACTCTACCACCTAGAAGGCCAAGGGCAGCAGATACATGTGATCACCAGCACCTGTAAGTTCCCGTCTAAAATACACACAGTCCTGGCTTGGAACTAATCCATTGTTCCTTCACTGTCGCCGGGTCAAAATGCCTCCATAACGGAACTGTGGCTATTACCTATCAACCATGAACTAGCGCAGTTCAAAAAGGGACAAACCACTATCTTCTCCAGGGCATTTAGGAATGAGCAACAAATGCCAACAACACCCACCAAAAAGTGGGTGTGTGATTAAGGAAGTAAGTTATCGTAATTAAGAAGGGCAAATGGAGCAACAGGCAATTAAGAAGGCAAATGGAATTTTGTCCTTCATTGCTAGAGGGATTGAGTTTAAAAACAGAGGTTATGTTACAGCTGTATAGGGTACTGGTGAGGCCATACATGGAATACTGTGTACAGTTTTGGTCTCCTTACTTGAGAAATTGGCATTGGAGGGGGTGCAGAGGAGATTAACTAGGTTGATTCCAGCGTTGAGAGGGTTGACTTATGAGGAGAGATTGAGGAGACTGGGATTGTATTCATTGGAATTTAGAAGAATGAGGGGGATCTTATAGAAACATATAAAAATTATGAAGGAAATAGATAAGATAGAAACAGGGAGGATGTTTCCACTGGTGGATGAAACTAGAACAAGAGGGCATAGCCTCAAAATTAGGTTTAGGACTGAATTGAGGAGGAATTTCTTCACTCAAACGGTTGTGAATCTGTGGAATTCCCTGCCTAGTGAAGTAGTTGAGGCTTCCTCATTGAATGTTTTTAAAGCTAAGATAATTTTTGAACAGTAAAGGAATTAACGGTTATGGTGAGAGGGTGGGGTAAGTGGGGCTGAGGCTACAAAAAGATCAGCCATGACCTTATTGAATGGCGGAGCTGGCTTAAAGGGCCAGATGGCCCACTCCTGTTCCGGGTTCCTATGTTCTTATGTAAATGTTGCATTTAAATTGGATCATACTCTACTGAGAAGCTCTTCAATTTTTAAGTATCCTGAAGTCTTACATGGGAGAAAGATGCTCCCAGGTAAGATACTGGAGAACATTTAAAACTTAGGCCAAGAAAAGACAAGTTGTCAGGAAAAAGTGAGGGCAAATTTCTTAAAAATCACACCTTTACAGGAGTGTTCATAGGGAAAGATAATTTATCTAAATATGTTTTATGGTCAATACAATCCGTTAATGTTGAATGTTTAGGATTGTCAGTGTGCTAAACCCAAACTGTGACATGTTTAAGTGCAGGTGGTAATAATCCCAAAGGGATTCGTTCTAGGTTATATGAAGGAGAGATAGCCACAGGAGTTTCAGATCTTCAAAAGCAGCTTCAATAGTGATGTAAACAAATGTTAGCATCCATTTTTCATGGAAGAGTTGAATGACTCATGGGTGACTCTTGTTAGATGTTAATCCTTGGGCTGTGTTAATCACAACAGCACCATAAATAAGTATCCCCAGACCGGAGAGTGGAGAATTTCAGCCAGAATTTTCAGTGGCATGTACAAGTCACTATTTTCCATGGGTGTGTGGACATTGATTGTTGACAGCCCACCCAACTCTGGAGTCCTGTGAGACCCTGAGCCAGTCTTTAGCTCTTTTTCGCAAATGTAGGAAGTACTGGATAGTGATCAGAAGTACGAAGACAGTAGATCAGTTTTCCCCTTTCCTTAACCGATTATAGTTTTGTGGTCAATTGTAACATTCATTACTGCCCAGTTCAGCACAGAACAGAAATAAACTTGGAGTCTTACAGTCCTCACTACCAAATCTATAATTGCATTTAGCCACACAGCATCAGTGGACAAAGAATCTTCGAATCTTCGAAAGAGCTCTTCAATTATACGTCCACGGCCCCTGCTTTATCCCCATTGCCTTTCAAACGTCTTCTTTCCATGAATTCCAGTCATAACCATTCACAGCAAAAAAATCTCCCCATCCTCCTCCGAGTTCTGTTGCTAATTATCTTAAACTGATGTCTTTACGTCCAGCCATGGAACTAATTTCTCACTACCAACTTCATAATTGCGAACACTTCAATTAAATCTGAAGTGAAGGAATTTGTCTGTAAATATAGTGAAGCAGATTCCAATGTCACATTCCTTTGGTTTCATTTCTGGAGTATTTATGTAGCAGAACTGTTCAAAGACAGTTTCCTGAAAAATTAAAAGAACTTAGATTTATACAGTTCTGTTACCTCGCTCAGTAAATGCAGAGTTTGTGTTGTGGAGACAGAGCATCCATTTTCAACAGCACAATATTTCACAAACACACTGCCTCTGATCAGATAACTCATGTGGATCTGGAGGCAAATCATTCCTGCGCACACTTCCTTAACTTCTATTCAATTCCACTTTGCACAAGGAGGTTGCTGAGCAACATCATTTCTCTGCATCTGAATACTGAGCTATTTTGGTGATGGAAAGGATGAAATGTTGTTTATTTAAAACGTTCATTGTTATGAAAGCCCAGTGGGATCTTAAGTGTTGGACTCTTGCCTTGGAGACACAAGTTTAATGCCAGCATGTCTAATGCTTGCAGCGTGCTCACCAGCCAAATGTGTCTCTATAGGGCCATCTGAAGAGTGGAAACTGGATGGGAAATACTTTTTCTATTTTCCTGCCTTCTCCCCGAAATTGCAGACTCTAGCCTAAGTACAGGTCCCTGAGCTCCTGGTCAGCCTGCCTGGGCAACTGGTGAGAGTTCGGAGGTTATTTGGTTCAGGTGTGGGAATGATGGCACAAAGGATTCAGGGGTCAAACCGATCTTGTCCTCACTTGTCATTCATGTTCTTCATTGCTACTGCCATTCATAGAAGTTCAGGGCAAGGAACTTTCACTGATTTATATGACTCCTCATTAATCCACAGGCACTGAGGATTCCTGTAGCTGCCGCTTAATCTGGGAATTGGAACAGGAACCAATTTGACCCATCCTGCTTAGTATTTCACTGGGTGGTGCAGATATTGTCTGACCTGTGGGAAATGTTTTTTTAAATTCATTCACGAGGGATGATGGCACCACGAGCTAGGCCAGCATTTATTGCTGATCCCTAATTGCCCAGTGGGCAGTTGAAAGTCAACCACATTACTGTAGGCCTGGAGTCAAAGAAAGGCCAGAACAGGTGAGGACATCAGTTTCCTTCCCTAAAAGGACATTAGTGAACTCACTTATCACCGTCCCACCTACCTTCCCAGCCCCACCCCTCCTCTCTCTATTTATTTCAGAGCTCCCTTCCCCCTCCCCCATTTCTGGAGAAGGGTCGAGACCCAAAACGTCAGCTGTCCTGCTCCTCTGATGCTGACTGGCCTGCTGTGTTCCTCCAGCTCCACACTGTGTTATCTCTGACTCCAGCATCGGCAGTTCTTACTACCTGACAATCAACAATGCATGTGTGATTGACATTAGACGTTTATTTCCAGACTTTTATTGAATTCAACTGTCACCATCCGCTGTGGCAAAATTCACGCCTGAGTCCCCAGAACACTTCCTGGGTCTCTAGATTAACAGTCCAGGGATAATGCCACTAGGCTGTTGCATTCCGGCTGGTAAAATGTAAAAGGTAAATTAGCACAATGTGCTCAGCTTTACCCTCAGAGACAGCCATCCAGACAAAGCAGACATCTGTTTCCCATCACTTGGATTTGAATCAACCCAGTTTGTTTGACTGACATCTCCCACACTGACACTAAGATGCTCACTGTGTTTGAACACTGCTTTATAATCTCATTAACAGCTGGAGATAAATTTCTTCCAGACAGATAAGGTCCTCATCTAACAGACGGATCCTTCATCTACTTGGGAAGAAATATGTGTCATAGTCAGTTAGATCTGTCAGAGTCTTTCATCAAGAGTTCAGAAAACACATGAAATCACAAGATAAATATGGTTGTTGAAGGTCAACTTAGTTTACATGTTCATACAGACATACACATTGGAGCAGAGGTAGACTATTTAGCCCCTTGAGCCTGCTCTGCCATTCAGTAAGATCATGACTGATCTGTTAAGATTCCGAATTCTGTATTCCCACCTAAGCCTCATAACTGTTGAGCCTTGCCTAACAAGAATCTAATTCCATTTTAAAAATATTTATTGACCCTGCCTCCACTTCCTTCCTAAGCAGAGAGCTCTAAAGCCATAAAACCCTCAGAGAGAAATACAATTCTTTACTCTGTCCTAAAAGGACCACCCCTAATTTTAATCCTGTGCCTTATTCTTGTGGAATGAGCAGGGAGTAGGGAGGTCTGAAAGCATATCTGGATTACTGGCCCCCAAGGTCTGTCAGCTGGTCTGTCAAAACTCCGAAACCTAGGTCTCAGCTCCACCTTCTGCAACTGTATCCTCAACTTCCTGACCCACAGATTGTAATCAGTGAAGACAGACAACCGCACTTCCTCCACGATAATTCTTAACACTGGCACCCCGCAAGGATGCATTCTCAGCCCCCTACTGTGTTCCCTGTACACCCATGACCTTGTTACCAGATTCCAAGCAAATATCATCTGCAAATTTGCTGACAATACCACTGTAGCAGCGTGGATATCAAACAATGATGAGGCAGATTACAGAAAGGAGATAGAGGGCTTGGTGATGGGGTACAATGGTATCAGCCTCTCTCTCAATGTCGGCAAAACTAAAGAATTGCTCATTGACTTCAGAAAGAAAGGAGGAGAACACAGCCCCATCTATATCAATGGAGCAGAGGTTAAGAGGGTCGAGAGTGTTAAGTTCCTAGGAGTGATAATAAGCGATGACCTGTCCTGGACTTCCCATGTAGATGCGACGGTCAAGAAGGCACAACAATGCCTCTTCTTCCTCAGGCGGCTCAGGAAATTTGGCATGTCCATAAGGTCCTCGCTAACTTCTGCAGATGCACCATTGAAAACATTCTATCCAGGTGCACAATGGCCTGGTATAGCAATTGCTGTGCCCAGGACCATAACAAACTATAGAAGGTTGTGTGCACAGCCCAGACCTTCATGTAAGCCAATCTCCCCTCCATGGACTCCATTTACATGTCTCTTTGCTGCAGAAAGACTGCCAACATCATCAAAGACCCATCCCACCCTAAGAGTTCTCTCCTACAACCCCTTCCATCAGGCAGAAGATACAAAAGCTTGAACACACGCACCAGCATGTTCAAGAACAGCTCCTTCCCTGCCATTGTGTCTCTCTCACTTCAAATAATGCTGATCTTGTTAATTTTGATCTTGCCTTGTGGACATTGTGTGGTGTAACTCGTATGCCTTACTCTGTCCAAGGTTTTTATGTCACCCTACAATCCATATGTCCTTGCTTACTATGATCTACCTGTACTGCTCACAAAAAAAGCTTTTCACTGTACTTAGGTACACGTGACAATAAATCAAATCATCATCATCATCATCAGGAGGCCAAATCCATGCTGTTAAATTGGCCCTCACTACCTATGGGAACCCAGATCCCAATCAGCCTCTTTCAATTGGCCTTAAGCGGTACCTCATAAACCTAATTGGCTAAATGCTGCTTGTGGACTGAGCCCAGCAAAATCCCTGTTCTTCAGGAAAAAGTCCTGGGAGGGAAATGGACCAGGAACTGACATGGGGAGAGGGTAATATAATGTAGTGGTAATGTGACTGGACCAGTAATCCAGCACCTAGTGATGTAGGTTCAAATCCCACCATGCCAGATGCTGAAATTTGAATTCAATAAAAATCCTGTGGTGACCATTAACTGCTGGCAATTGTCATACAAAAACATCTAGTTCATTAATGTCCTTTAGGGGAGGAAATCTGCCATCCTTACTTGGACTGGTTTACCTGTGATTCCAGACCCTCAGCAATGTGGTTGATTCTTATCTGCTAATTGGGCAATAAATGCTGACCTTGATTGTTATGCTCAGAAACCATGAATGAATTTTAAAAAAGTAGGCCAGCTATTTCCAGCCCATCCACCATTGTTCCTGGCTCCAGAGAAGTTTAAAAGTTAAATTATTGGTGTTGGATAATGAATTAAGAACTGTAGTAGTTTCAAGCCTATTAGACTAACTGTGTCTTGATTGTGGTGTACAGAGAGCCATTGATTTACTGGAGGATGAAAAGCAAGATCTTATATCAACGATTACACTTAACCTCAAAGAGCAACAACAGCTGATACAGGTGAAGATGGGACTGAGTCTTGAGCTTGCCACCTACAGGTAATGTTTAGTTCATATACTATTTCACAGGAGGTTTGAATCTTGGCTAACAGAAGTGAGCATAACTTTCAACCTGAACTACACAAAATTAAAGTTGGTAAAAAAATTTGAACAACATGCATATATAAGGTCAAAAATGAAAGAAACAAGCAATTCCACAGATTTGCAGGTGAACGAGTTAGGTGAGTAGAAGACTTTTCTTTTCTCATGCTTTTATGGGATGTGGGTGTTGCTGGTAAAAGCCAGCACCATTTCTAATTTCACTTGAACCAAGTATATTGCTTGGCAACTGTGGAGGGCAGTTAAGAGTCAACCATATTGCTGTGGGAGAACGTGGAACTAGGGGTCACCCATTCAAAACAACAAATAGGCAAAATTAATTCCTCTAAGGGTCATGTCTCTTTGGAACTCTCTTCCTGACAAGGCAGTGCAAGCGTCCTTGAAAATATTTAAGGTGGAAGTATTGTTGATAAGTAAAAGGGTGAAAAGGTATCAGGGGTCAGTGAGGTTACAATCAAATTCGTCATGATTTCATTGAATGGCCTAATCCCTAACTTGTAGGTAGGCCAGACAAGGATGACAGATTTCCTTCCCTAAAGTACATTAGTGAATGGGATTTTATAGTAATTGTGGATAATTGTCACCACTGTTGGCGACTATCTTTATATTCCAGAATAATGAATCAAATTTAAGTTCTACCAACTTCCATGGTGGGATTTGAACCCATGTCCCCAGGGCATGAAGTCGAGATTACTCGGCCAGGAACATTCCCACAACTCCACTATCTCCCTGAAAGCAAAGCATAAGAAGTTAGCTGGTGAGTCTTGACTTCAACTGAGCTCAGATGGGGAGGACAAGCATTTAAGACAGGGAACAGAACAGCCTGGACAAATAGCAATCATAATAACAGTGAAATAAGCACGAGCTAATTGCAATGGAAATAAAAGAGGATTACCAAAGATGTGACATATAGTACTTCTTAGATTATATCCTTTTTCTTCTATTTGTATTAAGGAGTGAGAGGACTGGAAGAGTTTCCTATTAATCAAATCTTGGATTGACTTGGAATTTAAAGAGAGTTAAAGCAAATAATTACTAGACCATCAAGCAGATTGAACATTCACTAGACCATTGCAGAAATAAAGGAAAATTTTGGATTGGAGGTAAATCTTAAAAGAATAGTAAAACCTACCATTATGCTTTTACAGAAACCAATAAAACACAAAGATATAACATTACTTACCTTTTACATGTATTTTACATGTAGATACAAAGATCAGTCAGGCCCAGTAACCTGAGATAATTATAAATAAATGGCTATAGACAGTTAAAGTTGAGTCCTGATGCTCCATTGCTATGCTATTCCATTGGGGTCCCACAAAGATAACCCATGTGGGACAGGCCTGCATCCAACCACCAGAGGAGAAAGTTAACATACCTGAAAAAACATGCAAAAAAGCATTTGAGGAAAAGTGAAAACTGAGATGTTTTTTTTTAAAAAGTATGAATAATCACCTCCTGGAAACACAAGAATAGTACTGTCAACAATTCATACATTAGCAGGAGGTCAAGAGGTTCGCAATTCCGGCTTTTCTCTCCTGGGATTTGGTTTGAAATTCAGTCCATACTTTCAGGAACATTGTCTCTTTAACTTGCTAGTTGTAGGAACCAGATCTGAAGCTTGGTTGGGAAATTTCAATCTTACTGTTTACGAGTTCACAAAACAGAACAACTTGTAATTTTGCACATTTCCTCTTTATTCTTTCATGAATGTGTAAATCGCTGATAAGGCCAAAGTTTGTTGCCTAACCCTAATTGTCCTTCATCTGAAGGGCATTGCTAAGCCATTTCAGGGAGTGGTTAATAGTCAACAATGTTGCTGTGGATCTGGAGTTGGATGTAGACCAGTACATTTTCTTCCCTAAAGGGAATTGGTGAACCATTTTGGTTTTATGAAAATCAATGACAGTTTCACGGTCACCGCACTGAGACAAGCTTTATTCCAGATTTATTAATTTGAGTTCAAGTTCCACCACATGTCCCCTGATCATAAGTTTGAACTGTTCGACACTATTCTAGTGACATTAACTCAACTTCACTGTCTTCATTCCCAATTAAGTGAGGAATCTCACTTAAAGATGTGACAGAAGCCCATGTAGGAAATGGAATATATTGATCACTTTGGTGCAGCAAGAGGTGCTGTATTAAATTGACTCTGTCATGTTGCTGGAGAAAATAATGAGAGAGAGCTTTATATCCAGCTTATCCTGGTCCTGGCTAAGAACTGCTTGTAATGACGCCACATAGAAAAGACTGAGTTTTGTTTTGTCTTCAGCACTGATGTATCACTCTGAAATGTCAAAAAAATTAACACAAACTACAACTCCACTAAAACAAACTGAACGAACTGCAGACACTGGAAATCTGAAACAAGAACAGAAATTGCTGGAAAATCTCAGCAGGTCTGGCAACATCTATGGAGGGAAATCACAGTTAAAGTTACGGGTCCAGTGACCCTTCCTCAGAATTGGTTCCGAGGAAGGATCACTCGACCTGAAATGTTAACTCTGATTTCCTTCCACAGATGCTGCCAGACCTACTGAGATTTTCCAGCAGTTTTGTTTCTTGTTCCACTAAAGTAAATACTGGACTAACTTCAGCTATTTTAAGAACAATTCTGCCTTTTGAATAATTTTCTAGTCCCAACTCCTGGTGATCTTTGTTTTATTCCATATCTTTGCTAAATGAGATTATCTCAATAGGGACTCCACATTTGGCCCCAGTGTACCTGGATTAGGGAGGATTAAAACATTGGGGTTTCCTGACCATTTCTGAATGTTGAGTTTCTATGGAATCTGGGGCGAGAATACCCAATCAGACAACATATCATTAATGTTGAATTGTAATTCAATGGATTGTCTACATTTTACTGCTAAAAACCCCATTACCACCCTCCTATATCCAATAGGGAATTCAGGGGAAATGCGTTTATGCAGAGAGTGCTGGGAATGTGGAACCAAGCATATGGGTAGTTGAGATGGGTGGTATAGATAAACTTAACAAGAATGGTAGATCCACCCAGAGAAAGGTATAGAAGAATATGTTGATGGGTGAAACGGAGAGCAAGTACAGTAGCCTTGAGAGGAGCTCAAACACTAGCACAGATAATTTAGCCAAAATACAGTAGCTTTTTCCTGTGCTATACATTCTATGTAATCTCTATTTACATTAACACCTGGAAGATCAAACCGTACTCTCTTGATAGTTGGTGAAGCATAAATTCTCGCATGGGTCAGTTGGGCTGAATGGCGTGTTTCTTTGTTGTTAAATTCAATATAATGCTTCCAGTACTGCAAAGAAAAGTAAAGGGAGACAGCGAAAACAAAAAATCAGTATAAATGACAATGTCAAAATGTTGTTGTTCCCACTAATACATTATCCTGTAAATGCTGCATGAAGTGTTTTTCTTGGAATGAGTTTCTAATGATTTCATATTCCACTCTGGCAAATGACTTAACTGTTGCACTGAGCTGTGACAGCTCTTAGCAAACTGTTCCATTCTGACTCCATGTTAAAAACACTTGAGCATTGTTTCAGAAAAGGCAGTTTGTGCTTAGTGCTGCTTTCTCTTCAAGCCCCTTTGACATTCTGTTTGTCTTCAGCAAATCAATCCAGCCACTTCTCAGCAACTGGATCGCTGCAGCTTTACACGTTCCAGGAATCTTTGAGTAATCTGATATTCCTTAACTCGGCCAACACCATTAGTATCTCAACTGAAAGCAGGCTGTAGAAGGGAAAATGACATTCCTATGCCAGGAATTTGGGGGTAGTGGTGAAAGTCAGAATTAGACACTGTTTCTTTGAAGGGAATGATGAATCATACAAATTGGGCCTCAAGAATCTGCATTTCTGCTGGAAATTATGGATTTGTATATTGTAGAAGTTACTATATGAAGTTCGATAATTGTTTGATGGAACAGTACATTGTACAATGCAGTACTGAGTCTTTTGTACCAGAAGATCCCATGTTTCCCAATCTCTGTTGAACTAGTTGACCTCAGCTGGAAAGAGGTAAAATAAAAACAAACATTTCATGGTCCTGAACACTAGCGGTTGGAAATATCACAGAGGTCAGGTGAGAAGTGCATTAAGCTCAGCAACATTGAACGTTCATTGTGTAAGCTAGAACATGACCAAATTTTACCAAGAGAGCATTTTCCCACAGCTACCACATTATCGTTCCCTTCCTAATCCAGTTTAACTGTACTGCCTCTAGCATCTGGCTGAGGTGAGCTGATTCAGCACAGATTTAAACTGAAACCTGGACTGCTAAGGTCTGTTTTATACTGATTGTCCACTGGAGAGACTCTGATACCATTAAACCTTGAGTGTGTCTTATATGAGGTGCACGTGTCCTCAACCTTCCCGAGTGGTCACACCATGCTCGGACACCTTCTGATTACCCTGTCTAGAATAAATGTGTAAACAAATGTATCATACAATTTGCCATCAATCTGAGATTAAGTGTTTTTCTCAGGGCCTTGCTAGAAGGAGAACACGTTAAGCATCAAGGGATACAGCAGCATCTGCAAAAACTGAGACAAGGTAAAGCTATTTTATAACAGATTTATTTCTTTGGACCACTCTCACTCCCTGGCATTTAACTATGATGCATGTACAAAATTGCTGGAAATTATTCTTAAGACTATTCATGTTGATGGATACGCATCTGACCTGCAACTTTTCCTGACCACATGGCCTACTTTCTGAAAATATTAGCTGATTTGTTTAAGTGTAATTTGTTTATGTAGTTCTAAGAGAAAAGGTCTCCGTTTTACACCCTAATCTACATGAGAGTAGTGAATGTATCATTGGCCTCAACAACTCTGGGCTAGATCAGAAAGAGAGTTTTGATGGAAGAGTCAGCAGTCTGAAACATTACCTCTATTTCTCACTCCACAGATCCTACTCGACCTACTGAGTATTTCCAGAATTTTCTGCTTACATCAGAGAAAAGTCCACTTTTGCTGATATTTGAAAGTACAGATGGAATCCTGTAGATGCATCAGCAGGGTCATATCTGCTGACTGGACAGTTGGCAAGAGAAGGCTGCTATCTCTTGCAAGGATGGCCCACTGAATCACAGGCCAATCAGGGCGTTGTGAGGTCAATAGCAGGCCTTCCCCTGAGATCAAAACCCCAGGGGCAGAATTCCCACCCAGCGAGAGCTGTCAGCCAACCAGAGATAGGCAGCTTGCACTCAGCCGTGCCTCTGAGGATACTATTGGCTCCTGGCAGAACAGTACCCCTTGAGCTGATATGTGCAATACATCTAATGACGTGATGGGAGGGAACTGAGGTTGAGGGTTACAAGGAGGTGGGGGCATTGGTGGGCAAATTCCTGCTCAACACTCAGATCTTCTTTGATCAAAGGTCCTCCCTTCCTCACATCCCCACTGTAACAGGTTACCCATAGGGTAGCAATTTTTGGGAATGCTCTATTTGTGTTAATCCCAGTCGCAAGGTGGTGATTAAGTGGTCTTTAATTGGTGATGGGACAGGAAGGTCAATGCTAGGCCTTCCAGCCTCGAATTTAATTGCGGTGGTGGTGAATAGGTGGCAGGGTCTGGGTGCCCTACCACCTTAACTAATTAATCCTGTCTTCATACTGGCCACCTCTGAGAGCAGAAGATTCCATCCTACATGCTGAGAGAGGCCTGGTGTATGCTTAGCTGTGATCCTGACAATTGTTGTGTCAACTCACAAAAGTGGAATAGTCATGAGTTAGGTGTTGGGATGATGGTATTATTGTGAGAACAGGAGTCAGTGGCTTTCCAAGTAAGGGAGCTTTTCAAACAAACACCCGTTTTGTTTAGTTTTATTTGCTAAGTAGGTTTCACACCCCAACCCTCTTTCCTGAACTCCTGCTTAGTCACAGATCAATTAGCTCAGTTTACATTCTCTGTCTTCCTGGATTTCTCAATGCAGCATGAGAATTAAACATAAGACCTTCTGATGTGTGTAGCTCCATACAGCATTGGCCAGTCCTTTTCTTTGTGTAATTAATGAGGAAACTTTTTTTTTGTTAAAAATACATCTGAATCTGGAGAAGACCTGATTATGCCAGACCTTAGTACCAATATAAATTGGCTGCAGAGGGAGTGCAGTGTGGATTTGCTGGCACATGAAGGTTAAATTATGAAGATAGGTTATACAAATGATTTTTGTATGCCGGAAGGTTAAGGGGTGATTTAATTGAAATCTTCAAGCTGTTAAGGAAGAGAGAGGGCAGATGGAGAGAAACAATGTTTTGTTAGGTGGGGAGGCTAATGGTCAGGTGCACAGTCTGAGGAGCAGATCATTTGAAGTGAAATTAGGAAACAAGCAAAGGGTGGTAGAGACTCTTCCGTAAATAACAATTAATTCTAGATCACTCTTGAACTTTAAACTGATAGATAACTGACTGATATTTTAAATGATTGATAGACGTTTGTTACCAAAGGTATTAAAGGATATGGGAGAAAGGTGGAAATATGGAGTGAAACGGCAGATCCATCAAGATCCCATTGAGGAACAGACTCAATAGGCTGAATAGTTGACTCTTGTCTCTACCTCAGGATCGAAGACAGTAAAGTGTTTGGTATGTTATTGAATGTAGAAATAGGCTCACATTAAATTTCTTATTTTTTCAGCAGGGACAGATACAAGATCACATATGTCCAGTGTTGTTCTACGACCAACTCTTGGTACGCGAGATCGCAAAAAGTGGACACCAACTAGCATTAAAATTCCTTCAAGCTTCCGGAAAGATACTGTGATTAACAAAAAGGGGATAATACCACAACCTCGTTCATATAGAATACCAGCAAGAAAGACTATTAAGAGTTCTCTGTCAGACGATGATCTGCTTTATGATGACACGTCTTCACCAATTCAAAATGTTGCATCTTCAACAAGGTCAATAAATGCCTACAGGGACAAGACTAAGTTTACACCCAAAACTCATGACCCACAAATTACAACTAAAGAAGCTGTTGTTCAGCACAAAGTATTTCCAGAAGAGATTGACAGGAAGAGTAAAGTGCCCTTATCCAAGGCAGTGCATGTTACAGATACGGCCACACATACATCCAAAGTAATAGTCGGGGAGTCAGATTCTTATGATAAAAGGGATGTTTCATGTAATGAAGAGACGAAAATTAAGTCTCCGGGTTTAAATGAATCACCTCAATCTGTTAGTGAGGTGCAAAATTGGGATTTTAACAGGAGGCCTGCTGAAACAATCAATGAGGAGCAGCATGAGACTGAGGCAACAAAGGAAGTGATAGCAGTCAAAAGTATGCCAAAAGATTTGGACATCAAAGTAGACATCAGTAATATGCGGCCACCTATTACCCCGGATGGATACACCCATACTATAGACCAAGAGGCAAGTGCAGAATTTACAAAGTATTTCCAAGTGGATAATACGATAGAAGAAAACAAGAAGGAACCTATGCTGGAAACTGAAGAGATCGGGATGAAAATTAATGCAGGGAAGTCAGAGGATAATCAAGGAATTGCTATCTGTAAAGATAATGAACCTTTGGCAAATAATATTAACACTGGGGATTTCCTTCAAACAGACATAAAATCCATTGACTTGGCAAAACTGAATGTTTCACCAGAATCTGATATCACTTATCATATCGAGGAGAAAGAGGTGTTGGATGATGGCAAAACCAAAAGAGAAATTATCATTCAGTCAAGAAGAGAAGAAATTGTTGAAATGGGAGATGAGTCAACTCTGAAAGAAATGTTGAATGTGGATGCCAAAAGTCCAGAGCTTCAAGTGAAAGGGGCTTTGGAACATTTAACAGGGTCTAAGACTGAGAACGTTATGGATGGACTTCTCAGCCTAGGACTTAAAGGAAGACAAGCTCCAGGGAAAGTATCTGTAAGTGTTGAGATGGGCGAGCAAACCTTGGAACGTTTTGAGGAAACTGATGATTTTCCTACAACCGCAGACACATTTCCACTGACTTTAGGAGCAGAGGATATTGATTATGAAGGCAAGGACGGCAGATGTGAAGAAGTCTTAAATATTACAATGACTGCTGCAGATTTTAGGAAAACAATGTTATCAAATACTGAACCACTATTGCAAAGCTCACCTGGTATTTTGTCTTCAAATGAAAAAGCACATGAAATGACTAAGGAAAAAGCAGAATTGTTTGGAACCAACATAACAGAAATGGGGTTGCATTATCCTCAAAGTAATGAAGACTCAGAAAATGTTAAACAAATTACAGTCACACAGCAAGATACCTTATCAAAAGAACTGTCTTCACCATGCCTGATAGAGGAATCGATTAGAGTTCCTCAAGGTGTTCAGACATCCATTGTCGAGCTATTGACTGAGGAAACAGAGGATCCTAAACTTAAGCTGAAAGGAGCTTTGCAGCAGTTGAAAGAAGTTGTACCAGAAAGTCTGAGGGATGAGCTTTCAGTACTCACTAGAGATTCCCAAGACCAATCTGACAACATATCAGTTAATATTAAACATGTCCAACAATCTTCTCAGAGTGGTGTTGTCACTATAGAGGCAGAGGTGAATGTTTCACAAAGCCTTGACCCAGAGGATTTCTATTCAATGGACACTGGAGATGAAGAAAACACAGACAACTTAGAGTCAAGACTAAATAATCTCAATACCCAAGAGAAAATACAGGAACTACTGAGTGCAGGAGGTCTTAAAGCAGTTGATACTTTGCACGACGATGATGGAATCAAAATAAAGGTCAGAAGTATTAATGAGGAACCTGTGCCTTTGCCAGAAGCCAAGACAAGAGATGGGACAGATGCTGGTGAATATACAAGTTCTCAATATCACAGAGGTGGTCTAACTGTTCATGAAGTGTCTCAGTCAAGTGAAATTGAAGATGATTTATCTGATCAAAGTACATTCTTCCAGAAGAGAACAGGTCAGATGGACAGAGAAGAGTTCTTTCATGGAGTCTTGGATCCAGAAAATTCATCAGAAACCTTTCAAATGAATATAAATCCAGTTACATCAATACAGACAAGTGGAGGTGACAGCGGGAGAGGTATGACATTCATAACTCAGCAGCATGAAACGGCTGAAGGAATAGATGAAAGGAGACCTGAGGGTAATGTGTATTGGTGTGAAGAACTGGAATCTGAGAATAGAGGTGGCCATGAAGTGAGTGTTACTGATGCAGATGAAGAAGATCTACAAACTTATGATCCAGAACTTATGCAATACTCAGTTTCTCCAAATGCCTTGGCAAAGCCCAGGATTGTTGCATCTGAAGGTAACACACAAGTGGTCTACAGTGAACAGAAAGTTGTTGTTACACACTTTGATGAGGGTCAGTCAGATGACTGGCCTCTGTACGATGATTAAACTGTAAAGAGTCTTCAAAAGAATGGATTATGCCTTTGAAATGGAACCTAGTTAATACAGGCACAATTAGAGAATAGCTGACACCGAGCAGAGATTATGCAGTCGCAATGGAATCAGATGCTTTAATGCTTTGATAAAACAATGCTTGAAACTTACCTGCTGCATAACCCCACGTGTGTGCTTTAAAAGAAATACACTTGTGACATATCCAGTTACCTGAGACCTCGTAATATCACAGAAATCATTATCAAATGAAACATTATGATTTAAAACAATCATGCATAAACAAAATTGCTTCTGTTGACTAATTTTATAGAAGGGATAGATTGAAAGTAGTAGCAGAGGACTGTTGGCTATGCAGTAGTTTTATTTGAGGTTTCTGTGTAGAGTTATATACAATTAAAAGGTCTTAAAATATTTTTGCATGGATTTGGTGTGTAATAGTTGAGTCTAGGCTACACTTATAGAGTATTTTCCGGTAAACAGCTCTAAGTTAAATTGTTATGTTCTACAGCTTACCTTAAGACTTCTTTGGGTTATTATGACCTCTCCATGACACTGTTTGCACCGCTGGGTATTTCCAGCATTTTCTGTTTTGAATTTCAAATTTCCAGCATTTGCAATAATTTGCTTTTGTGTTTGAGAAGAACTTTAGACTCTATCATGAATGTTACAGTAAGAAACTTATCCAGATGTCAGCTTCGCTACTGAAACAGGAAATTAAACATTAATAATTATAGCTAAAATGAGAAAAATTTGTTTGGTCAGTTTCACCATTTTTCTGAGTTTTTAAAAGATTTTTATTCCTAACAAATGGCAATTGAATTTCTTTGTCATAATTTCACAACATGCCTCCAATTTCCATTATTCATTTTGGCATTCAGCCTCTGATAGTGTTAAAGTGTCAATCAGAAGGCAGCATTGTAGGGGATGATACAGTATACATAGTATCAAGAGTCTGGTCAGAACTCAGGAAATAACTTAAAAGATATTTTCAAATTATCATCTTGTTCCTAGTTACAGAGTTCAGTTATGCTTACAATTAATGAGAAAGTAAATTGAGTACAATCAGAAAGTGTTTAGAATCTCAAAAGATTCTCTGTATTTCATGCCTTATTTCCTGTCAATTTAATGTTCATACTGTTTTAATTTGCGAAAGCCAAAAAACGTCTTTACTTTTTGATCAATGATTCCCCCAGACAACTCCCAAAGAAATGCATTTGGAACAATTGGACCTTACTGGTAATTTAAGTTTCCTACTTTCTGTCAACTTCCTTAAGCTAGAAATATAACATACAATTGTATCAACAGCACTCACATAATCCTGCAGTAGCTCACACAATATATAGAATTATTATAGAAAAATTTAGTTTGAGCATCAATAAGAATCCAAATTGCTCAATAGTGTAGTTTTTATGTGCTTTAATAGAAATAGAAGGGTCAGAGTAGATATGTCAAGTGTTTGGATTGAAGGCTTGTTATGTAGAATAAAGAATCAATGATGGGATGTGTTACAAGATTACATGAACCACATTTATAATTGTGAAGAAAGAACAAACATGCATTTATTCAGCACATTATATGATTTTCAGGATGTTCCCAAGCATTGTACAGCCAATAAAGTGCTTTTGAAGAGTTGTAGGAGATGTGGCAACCAATGTGTGTACCATCAGTAATGGGATAAGACCAGCCAATATGCTTTGAGGGTCATATTATTTGAGGGATAAAAATTGGTCAGGAGAATGTGGAGAATTTCCCTGCTCTCTATCAAATAGTATCATGGAATTTTTGTTTTACTTTTACTGACAGAGCATACTATGCCTTGGTTCTGTGTCACATCTGAAAGATTGCATCTCTGACAATGTAGCACATCCTCAATATTGTACTGGGAGTGTCAGCCTAAATTTTGTGCTCCGCTACCTGCAACGGGATTTAAACTCTCACCTTCCGACTCAAACATCAAAGTTCATACACGGGAACAGTATGAGATAATGACTGGTGCTGTAGAAACATACACACCTATAAAAATTACAACTTTCATGGAGGGAAGGACTGGGCAAACTGTTCAAGAACCTCCTAGACAACACTGGTGTCATTGCTAATCACACATTTACTCATGCTTTACTAACAACAGGAAAAAGCAGTGATTTCTTTTCCTTCTTCAGAATTGGTTTGTGCTGGATAGATAAGACTTCTGTTCCTGATGTTAAAGTTGGTAGACTGCAAGCTGATTAGTGTGTGGGGAAGCAAGAAACATAGCCATGTTGATATTTGAGACAGAGTGCAGATTGCTAAGAGTTTTGAAGATAATATGCTTCTGGGTCTTTTAAGACAAGGCTCATCATGGAGATAATTAAGGTTACAGAGTGGCTTAGCTAATTTAGAACTGTGTACATGTTATAGCCAGTTATTCTCTGACTAGCAACTTTGCAGTTGCTTTCTGTATTCTTTTGTAAAATGTTTTAATTTAGTAGTAAAACACTTTTTAAAATGCTTGGATCCATGTTTTAATTTAAATTATCGTTTGCTATTACTGAATTTGAGTATTGCTGATAAAAGACATGTTTTATCAAATCTCTTCATCTTGCCCACATCAGGACAATTGGCAAGAACACCAGTTTAAGGTAAAACCAACAATTTATACTGTGCTACAGAAAAGTACTAATTTGTTGGCAAGTGAACTCTGATTAATAGAGACATTACCACAGAAAATGCACCAATTAATGATGATTGACAGTTAATTGCCAGGACTTCCTGAGATTCAAAACCAGACAAGTTGACTATGATTGGTCAAAGCATTGCCTTGTGAAATGAACCAGCGAATGCCTCTTACCCATTTTGTTGACTTTAAAAGACACAATGTATGTACATATTCTTCCTATCTGAAAAGAACACCCTTTCTATTGATACGTATGTAGCTTCTAATTCATGCAAATGTGGCAAAATGAGCCCAAATGACAGTCCTACATTGGCCCGATGAATACAAAATGAAAAGCTTCTGAAATATGATTTTTCAGCAAAATTTAAATGTTATGTGCATTACACAAGCATGTAATAGTGCAAAGATATTAAATATTTTTCATTGGTTCAGTCTCCACATTTCCCAGATACAGGCATTAGACTTTCCCTTTCATAGAAAGTCGATGAAATAATTCTGGTCATGTTTCCACTAAACCAAAACTGGCCCAAATCTGGCACTAAATTGTCAATTTAACTCAAAAAGATATTGGGACAGCTGACATCGGAATTGAAAAGCTATCAACTGACACAATAAAAGTTGTTTTGGGAGGCTGAACTGAGAGAAAACAGGGGCTTCATTTCACATTTAACCAAGCTCTCTATGACTCAGCAGTGCTTGATGTATTGAAGTTAGAATTATTACAGTGTGGAAGCAGGCCATTCAGACCAAAGTCCATACTGCCCCTCTGAAGAACATCCCGATCATTCACATCCTATCTCTGTAACCCTGCATTTCCCATGGCTAATCCACCTATTCGGCACATCCCTAGACAGTATGGGCAATTTAGCATGGCCAAGCCACCTAACCCACACATCTTTGGGAGGAAATCAGAGCACCCAGGGGAAACCCACACAGGCACAGGGAGAATGTGCAAACTCCACACAGTCACCCAAGGATGGAATTGAACCCAGGTCCCTGGCGCTGTGAGGCAGCAGTGCTAACCACTGAGCTACCATACCATAAGGGTTTCTCCAATCTCTGTACATAAAGGAGAGATTGGGAGAACCCGAAGGCTACATGCCTGGAATTGGAACCATTTAATTGCCAAGGCTTGGCTGGAATCACAGCAATGTTTAGGTGTGAACAAATGGCTCATTAAAGTTCATTTGTAGGTGAAGAATTCCTTCCACTATGTGTCACTGCTTCACTAAAATATCACGACTCAATATTATACTAGCGGTAAACCAGAAAATGTGTCTGTGCCAGAAGCTATGTACAGCACTCCTTCACCCAATGGTTACGCTCCAGTATAATTTAACATTGTTACAGAGACAATGGCTTCTAAACATTTAAAATCTGCATAATTGCAATTTTAAAGGTACCAGCTGTTCCCTGTACTTCTCTGTACAGTAAGAATTTGTATGCGAGGTTCTGGTGGTGCACTGGTAGTATCTCTACCTCTGAGCCAGGAGACCCAGATACAAGTGCCACCAGCCCCAGAGGTGTGTAATAACATGTCTGAGTAGGTTGACATAGAAAATATGTAAGAATTTGTATGATGTCATAATCTAGAATGTAGAAAAGTTCGATCACTAATTAAGAATTTGGGTAATTTCACTTGCTCAAAATAAGCAGGTAAGGATTTCACAGATGATTCAATAAAATCACATCACATTATTTAATCAATCAACTGTACATTCCCAGACTTTAAGGTTGCACATTACAATAAAACGAAAACTCTGATCACAATTACTTTTGATTAAGAGTACATAAATTGCAAAAGAACAAATAAAGATCTAAACTGGGGAACTTATTTATTCATTCATTCATCAAGGATAATTGAAGTTCAATCCTAGGAGTGGGGATGGGGGGGGGGGGGGGGGGAGCGGCGGTGTTCAGAAACCTCAGGGTGAAGTGGGGAAGCAGGGGTCGAAAGAATTGGAGAGCTCGTCGGAAAAGCTGTTGGGGAGGGGTGTGTAGAAGTTTGGAAATGTGTACAGGGAACAGGGTGTCTGATCGCAGGCCTGTGCCTCAGGTAATCATGTTGTATCGCTGCCAAGGGATAAGTGAGGAGGAGCTTGCCTCCTAGATCCAGCAGTCCACACCTGGGTTAGATGCTGAGGTTTCCCAAGGCTCAGGGGCACAGCCACCTACAGTTTCATCTCAGAGCTTTAAAGTAATGAAGCTCACAAACTCATTATATAAAAATACCAAACTACCTTGAGACAGATTGATCAACCTACTCATTTACTGCCTCTGTAAAGGCAAACAATCATTGGGGTTGAGATGGAGGAGCTGGAGGCAGGTTCAGGCTTCCTTGCATTTTTTTTAGGTATTATAGGAACGGCGAATCGGCCCATCAGCCTGTCCTACCATTCAGTATGAGCATGGCTGATCAAACATGTCAATACCTTTTACTCACACCATTCTTGTAACACATTATGCTACTTAACATTTCAACACTTTCATTTAGGTTAAAATTCCATCCAATGTTTCTATTTGTGGGGTCTAAAGACCATGAATATTGTAAAATCACTAAGAAAGCCAACAGTCATTGACAATCACTTGCTAACAAATATGATTGTCCGCCGGAAATTCCATGTCACTGGTCATGGTTCTGTGGGTCCTTGTGTGACTGATGAACCAATCCTAGAACCAAAGATGTGCAGGTTAGATGGACTGACCATGGGAAATGTAGGGTCAAGGGGCTGGGTGGGATGCTCTTCAGAGGACCAGTGCAGACTTGATTGGCTGAATGGCTTATTTCCACGCTGTAGGGTTTCTATGTTTCTTTTATGACTCTACAGAGTCGAATCTCTGTTCACACATTTGGCAAGTGTTTCCAGGAGGTGGAAGTTGTCCGTGGACTTGAGATCCTTTTGGCATTCCTTTTTCCAGTTCCTTTATGATGCTTCCTCTTGCGACAGGTGTTCTTGGAAGAATACAATTCCTTCATACATAAGAAAACCAATGGGAAATTCATTAAAAAAAAGTTGTTATTCAGAGAGTGGTGAGCATGTGGAATTTGATACTGCAGATACACAAGGAGGTGAATAGCATGCTGCATTTATGGGTTGCTGGATTAGTGTGGGGGGCTGGGACAGGAAGAATAAGTGCTTTGCTTGATGGTGTTTGAATGGAGGAAAGCTTCAGCGAAGGACGAGCTCTGGCATAGTCTGGTTGTGCTGTACATTCTCTGTAATTTATGCATCCACAAGCTGCGAAGTGCATAACTTCATTCACTACATTGTGCACATTATTTGGCAAAGTTAAAATGAAAAGTAGAAGCCTGTAGTAAAAATATTAGCAACCTGCACAGAACTAATGCTCCACAACATGTGGCTTATATTTCACCAACTCCCATTCATCATTAACAGCCAGCTACTGACACATCTGGTCTTGTCTTCAACAATTCCAACATGTAACTTCCTGCATAAAACATGTATATCAACCACAATTAAAGCTGGTTCATATTCCTTCTAATGTGACTCTTCAAGTTTTATGTTGAGCTCGTAGATATAATAAATTGTAGCAAAGGTAAAAAATAATGCGATCGGAAGTAATATATTTTCAGCACCATATCATAAAATGTCCCAGGAGTGCTTCACTGGAGAGCTGTGAGAGTACGTTTGATATTGAACCAAGATAAGGACAAGGGACTAAGAATTTGGTCAGAAGTAACTTTTAGGGAGTGTCTTAAGGAAAACGTGTAGAGAGGCAGAGAGTTTTAAACAGGGGTTGGTTCCAGAGTTTAGGTTCTAAGCAGCTGATGGTACAGCCACCGATGGTCAAAGTAATAACATCAAAGTTGTTTTGGATGGAGTTAAGTGTAGGCCAGAATGCTGAGCTTCGTCCTAGCGTCTCGAGGCAACATTCCATGTACATCAGTCACGAATAGATATTTGCTTTGGTCCCTCCTCATATGCTGTGTTTTGGTACCACAGCACAGAATACAGGTCTCTGTTTTAAATGATCTGCTCCAGTCTTCTCTTTTACTGCAGCCACCTCCGGAGACCTGTTGAAAAATGCAAAGAGTAACATGTTTTAATGGCATGTTACCAAAATAAGTCAGAAAGCTGGGTCAAGATGTCATATTATTTACTTCCAGTCCATTTATTCTGAGGTCTAGGACCATGGAAATAAGGAGGAGTAGGCCATTCAGCTCCTTGAGTCTGCCCTGTCATTCAACTAGATCATGGCCGATTTTCTGCCATTTTCATGCACTATCACCATATCCCTCGATACCTTTAGTATCTAGAAGTCTGTCGATCTCTGTCATGAAAGTACTTGATGACTGAGACTCCACGGCAAAGAAATCCAAAGGTCCAGCATCCACTGAGTGAAGAAAATCCTCCTCATTTCAGTCCTTAATGGCCTACCTCTCACTCTGACAATGTGTGCCCTGATTCTAGACCACCTCTGCCAAGGGAAACATCCTTCCTACATCCAAACTATTCAGCCCTTGTAAGAATTATGTAGCTTTAATTAGATCATCTCTCATTCTTCCAAACTTCAGAAAACATAGGTCCAGTCTCCTCAATCTCTCCTCAAAGGAGGATCCAGGCATCCCAGGATTCAGTCCATTAAACATCTGTTGCACTCCCACTGTGGCAAATTTGCTCTTCATTAGCCAAGGAAAGTAAAACCATACATAGTAATCTAAGTGCAGTCTCAACAAGACCCAAGCTCGCAGCAATTCTCCTGAACCTCCAGAATCAGTCACCTGTCCATTACGGCTCTCATGAGGCATTCTGAAAGGCTATTCTTCCTCTGGGAGATGGTCAACACAGTCCATTCTGACCTCCACGTACCCA